AAAATGTTTCACTTACACACTTCGCGGTTTTGTTGTACACTACATGCCCTGAGCCAATGATCCTTGCACTGCCTGCAAGACGTTCGAATCCTCTTGGAGTTTTGCACACTTCATGGTTTTGATGCAATCTTCACGGTCTCACACTAGTGCAGCATGCAAGAAATTCACAATGGCATGCACTATAGGTTGTTGGTGGCACCTCCAAGTCAATCAAAAACGCAAAAATGTTACTTCCATCTCCACATGACAACACAATCTCGAATGAGGATCTTGCCAACTAAATTGGTGTAGACACTTCACGTGTGTAGCGGGGGACTCTCAAGAAAAAATGTGAAAAGAAATTGACTCCATGGTGGTGCTCCTACTTTTTCAAAAGAGGACTCAAACTTTGAGTCTCTACTTAACATTTTCAAAAATGGCACCACATTTGCATTTGCAAGACAAGGGCGAGAGCGGAAGCAATATTCACTACTCTTTTTCACGCCTCGTGTGGGGAAAACGGTTGTTGAGAGGATGGAAGGGTTAGGTAGGTGAAGCATTGTGGATGTTATGTCCGGGTCTCTCAAGCATCGATTCCTAACTTGCACTCCCTTCTAAAAGATAGATGAGTGGCCACACATATGAGATATTCAGAAGTCGGGTCTCTTGACTCTATCAGAAGAAGCATCTAGCATGAGATACGACTTCTCAATCAAGTACGTGAGGAGGAACTGTGTTCGTGGGGAAACATGGAAAAGGTAGTAGGGTGGAGGATGGACGCTAGAAAGATATAAAAAATTTCCCCAAAAACACATCATCAAATTGTACTCCGTTCAAAATGGAAAGCCCTTCGAAAAACACTATGACCGGTTGCCTCTCACATGAGAATTTTTAAAACATGTTCAAAATTGGAGCACCTTATTGTAAAACCTTTTGGAATCCAAATTTGGGGAGAATCCCACACATATATGTCCTAACCTTGAAAGTAGATAGTATAAACACATTCGAGAGGAAATGGAACCAAAATCCCACATGAATCAACAAACCTCGTGGAGCTACATTATTGCCTATAATGCACACCATCGCAATCATCTAACAATTCAAAGCACGATGAGTAAGTACATGCATATGACAAGGTATTTGGAACCCTCACATTTTTTAAATTTTGGCATGCAATACTAGGTTCCAAAACATACTCAGTGCGATAAAAAAACACAATCTTTCACACATGCTTCGAGCCCTCAATTTTTTTTATTTTAGGCATTCATTAAAGCTCCAGAGCATTCATAAATAAGCACAACACTAACTCACACCACTTATTCACACACAAACATATCATGGAACACCCCTCACCCACACTTAAGCACGCCATTGTCCTCCATGGAGGAAAGATAAAGAGGGTAGAACTCAGTTATCGGATCAAGTGTGAATAATGGTGGAGATCCAAAAGAGCGAGATAACATTCAAAATAGTACAAGCTTGCGAAGATCAATTTATTGACTCGGAAACCAAAGGAAAGTGAAAGAAAGTGCAAACCAAAGTGGTTGAGTTGCCTCCCAACAAGCACTTCTTCACGTCATGATCCGAATGGTGAAGCTCGAGTTTCCATACATCCCAAAACTTCCTTGAAGCTGGGGTTCTCTCCGATGATGTGGAGTCGTAATTCCTGAGCATATGATTTGAAAAGTGATGGTAGTAGCTCGCGAACTTGGTGAGATTTGAGGCTCCACCAGCGAGACCTCTTCTTATTTCCAACTTCATTCTTCTCTTTGCCCCAACCATGTAATACAATCTTGATTGACCACCATCGGATCCTCCTTGAGGGATGGATGATGGTTTGGCCTTGGCTTGGTGAATAGAAGCCGCAAATGGGTCCTTCTCTAAAGTGCATCCAGGTTAGGTGGAAATCTTTGGTGGAACTTGTAACTTGTAGAAGTTTGATCTACAACGCACTCGTCCTTATCTTGGACACCATTTTAATCCTCAACCTCCCTTCATTCTTCCCAAATTTGTTCCTCCCATTGGGAACAATCAAGATCTTTCCCTCTTTATATGCTCACTTCCTCCTCATCAACCCTTTCTCTCAACCTTCCTCGCTCTTCCTCAAGTATATGTCAGATAGCAAGTTTCCAAGCACTGTCTTCGGTAAGGTCATCTTGCTCTGCCACCTTTGAGATTTGGTTTTCAAAGCTTTTCCTGTTAAGTTGAAAGGTGTGAAAGTCATCAATACAACACTCTTGGTCATCCTCACCACGGGAGCTCTCCGGGGTGAGTTCGTCTTGCTCTAGACAGTCATCATTGATCGCTTCTTGAACCTTCTCTTCTTCTTCAAATGGTGATAGGCAAAGCCGTGCACAAGCTTGTACAACCGTGTCTTGTAGCGTCAAATCGAGAGTGTGGGGTTGGAAATCCAATGAGTTGCTTGCCATAAAGCTTTTCATAGTTAGCTTTAATTCGGACTTCACTTTGGGTTGTGGGATGAAATCTTATGGTATAGGGGGTTTCAAGATATTCCCATGAGTATGGTTGTTCTTCTCGAAAGGGAGGTTGATCACAGAACCCAAATTCATGGCTTCCACCATTTTCATCGCTTTATGTAGTTTCGGGGTAACCACATTCGAGTGTTTGTGGCTACCCCCACATAGGGATGAAAATTGGGGTGAGTGTGGTTACGCATCCCATATTTTATGGTTAACCCCACCCACAATTCCACAAATATAGAATGATGTTATCCACAACTCGCACCAAAGTGGGTAGTGGTTAATCACTATCCACTACGGGTTAGTGTGGTTTGGATGTCGATACCCACAAAAGTTTCATTTCTTCGCCCTTCGGGCTCGTATATGATAAACCTATTAGTTGAGACAAAAAGCACACACTGAGTTAAAAATAAGTCAAAGAAGTCCAAGACATCGAATGAGCGAGGATCCCATGTTTGTAACTTTCAAAGTAGTTAACCTCCATCTCCTCGGTTCACTTCACTTGCTTACAAGTTGGGGTGAGAAACAGGACGGAACGGGATTTGGTACCAGTCGCATTTTAAACGGGTACCAAGTCCCATTTGGAGAGAAAACTCAATCCCATGTCTCAAACCCCTACGAGTTAACGGATACTCATTACCCATACGAGACGGATAATGGGAACTCACAGATAACCTATATGTAATAATAAAATCAAGATTTTGTACGTATAATGGTCTACCTCTCTCGTACCAGGACGGGTTCTCCCTGCAGCTGACTTGAGGCATCCCATTTCACCTTCAGTACCCCTTTTATTAATACTTAAACCACAATTAGTTGAATTAATTAGCTATCATCTAACTAAATTGATCAATTTTAGAGATTGGACAAGTAGTACGGGTACCTGTAATACTCAAACGGGTGACCCGTGGGTACCCATTAACTTCTAGATCTCAAGTCCTATTCGGTAAAAAAATATTATGGGTATTTGGGTACCTGTAACCCTCAGAATACGGGACGGGTATGGCTATATACAAATTCCCGTTTCCCATTGTCCACCCCTACTTACAGGTCACTTCACTTTCTTTAGGAAATGTAGATTGATAACGAGTATGCGTTGGAGCGAAACTAATCTAAATACACATAGCATTTTGTCAGCGGCATGACTCCTTTACTTTTTATTTGAATAATTAGGGATAAATGGAATATCGCGATTAGGAACTTGCATATCGCGATAAATGTCAGCGGCATGACCCCATAGAGACTTTAAGGTTTTAGGAACTTGCATATCGCGATTCGGCCTCTCTGGTGTGAAAGCATGGACCGAGGAGCTCTCTCCTCTCTCCTCAAGTTTGTTTGGTTGAAGATCGGGATCGTTATTGCGGCGGCCGGCGGAATCATCGGTAGATTGACCTGCCGGATTCTTGAAGAAGCGATTACAAACCAGGGAGTGCAAGATTGTAGCTGGATCGAGGGACTCCTTGCACCGCAGGTTCCTGGCCATCGAGATTGCAGATCTGCGGATACTGGAGTACAGCGGCAGCATGCATCCGCTAATAGGCGTCCAAGAGGTTGGAGAAAACAGGGGGGTAGGGAGCGCTGCCTCCCCAAACGGCGAAGAAGGCTAGACTCTGACTCCCTTTCGGATGACAGGACAGTTAAGCGTCCAAGGCGATGGAAACAACCGGGGTGGCTTTTCAGTCTCCCTTCTCCAGATGAAGTGGAAGGATTTAGTGGGAAGCCCCATTTGTGTATTTGAGAAATGAAGTTGCTGGTGACGACCATGCCCAGGATGAACTCAGACCCCGAATTGGGGCGAGGGCATCCGATATGCAGGCGTGTGCTTTCTCGATCCCAGCGACCTTTGTGCGTGATAAGGGTGCGGAAGTAAAATGTGGATCTGGGTACAAATTGGAAATGACTAGAGGTCCGTTAGTCCAAATTGAAACGGCGGTAGCGGGATTCAGACCCCGTAATGGGGCGAAGCCTGGGTCAAAACGAGAGGAAGGAGAAAAGATACTTGTTCCGCCCGGAGACCGTCCGGTGAGACTCGCCTGGATGAACTTGTGCCGGCGACCTATCCCCAGAAAAGGATTGTGTTGGGATGGGACTCTCACCGACCTCAAAGGGTATCCTTCTCCTACTCAAAGACGTGTTCTCCCTAACCGACAGAGATTGGCAAAAGGCGGTGAGAGAATAATTCATTCTGATCTCAAAAACAGAAATTGTAGTCTCCTAACTCAACTTCCCTTCTCCTGGCGGAAACCCCTCCAATTACCACTGACTTATTTAAATCACTCGACTGGCCCCTTATTTCAGACTTGCTCTAAGCAGGCAAAGGATCAAGAGGGCTGGCAGCGAAACAGAGTGCAGCGAGCGGAACGGAACCTAGCTGGTAAGTGGTTTCTGTATCCGGCTGAAATCCTCTTTCGTGTTTCGTGTGATTGCAATATTGTGCATATCATTGGATTTGTTGGTTGGAGCTTCCCTTGGTCGGTGAGGGAAGAGCTTGGGACTGTCAACGATAGAGTTTCTGAATCCTTACCCTTTCAGGTGGAACCCATGGCGCGCATCACCAATGATCAAGTTGTGGAATTCTCCCTTGAGGAGGTTCAAGCTACTCGAGTTCACAAGTCAAGAATGCTCATTGGGCGGCTGTTCTCCGATGATCGACTATCCACTGCTGAACTGAGAGATGCGGTGAACCGACCGTGGCAGGGACAAGGTCGTATCGTGGTACGTGAGCTGCCGCATGGACTATTCGAATTCACGATTCCTTCGGAAGCAGCCAAGTCATGGGTTTTGCAGCGAACCCCATGGACGATTGCGGACAGAATTTTACATTTGAAGCCATGGATCCCTGCTGTTTCACAACGCACTTTTGAGGAATTGGCGATAGTCCCTTTCCGTGTCCAGTTATGGGAGATCCAGGAGGGTTGCTGCACGCCCCAATTCGGGCGGAAGATAATCACGTCCATGATAGGGCGCGTTTTGGAAGCGGCTGTGTTCACTAGTGCTGGCAATACCCGGAATTTTGTCAAAGTAAAAACACTGGTGGATTTTTCCAAACCACTGCGATCGCAGATCATGGCAACCAATGACGAGACGGGTGGTTTTTGGATCCGTTTGAAGTATGAGTTCCTCCCTTGTTTCTGTTTTAAATGTGGTCGTGTGGGCCATGCTCGTCAGACATGTCGCTTTGATCCCCCAACAAGGAAGGAGAGATTTGGCCCACATATGTCGACTAAAGAGATGGGGAGAAAGGTGTTCGATGGGGACGAGACGAGGGTGCAAGCTGCCCGGATCCCCCGCTCAGTGTGGGTTAACACGGAGCTCCATCGGCCTCAAAGCCCAGGCGCAGACAGAGATTTGGGTCCCCAAAATCCTGTTACAAACAGGCCTCCCAAAAAAACAGGAACAGACGCGGCCTTGGGCCAAAAACGAGCTGGACAAGTCAGGCAACAGGCCCGCGGGCCGGAAGATGGTTCGGAAAGCCCACTGTGGATGGGGTCGTCGACCAATCCGTTTATTACCACTGAGGATCGGCCTTTGAGGAGCAGCCCAAAGAAATTTCCCGTTGCAAAAGGGCCGAGACTTGCCCTGGGGAACTTGACCCGCCGTGGGAAGCCCAAGAAGAAGCAGAGGAGTCCAATGGACATTGACGGCCCAGTCAAGCCTCTCTTACGGGCTGGTCAACCGAAGGGGGTTAGGGCGGGGACGGGTGCTGACCCGGGCGGCAAAACGAAGGCAGGAAGGGGACCTGCTCCCTGTGAACCAGCTTCGTCGCCTGCCCCACGCCAACCAGTGGATCCCAAGCCAAAGAAGGCGGAGGGGAAATCGAGACCTCGCCGGCTGATCCTTGAGGAAGAATCGGAGGAAGAAGTCCTCTTCTGTGGAATCTCCTCTATGGGCCCGTCGCGGGAATCAAGTGAAGCTGGGGTTCACCGGCGCCGGCTTCGGCAAAAAGGGGTGGTGCTGGATGCGGTGCCGCTCAGGCAGATCCCCCCGGTGCAGAAGAATGAGGCTGGGATGTGCTCCCTGCCCAGAGAATCGAGCCCCCGTGTGCAGTTGGCATGCGAGGAAACCCTGGGAGAAGACGGATTTGAAGAGGATTGTCAGCTCCAGTCACGGACGAGAGAGGCTGGGGCGAAAAATGGGGCCGCTAATTTGGAAACAGGACAGGGTTCTTGGAAGCCCACCGATTCTTCGTCGGATGAGGAGTGCCCCGTTTTTGAAGTTAGGCGCCGATCTCCCCAGGGCAATCATAGTCTCAAACGCTTGGCTCGCTCCAATCGGGTTAACCAAGTGGTCAAAGCCTTTGAAAAAGGGATGTCCATGGCTGAAACGGAGACACCTTTGGCCCCGAACATAAATGGGCAGGGAGATGCTCGATTGGCCATTACTATTGATGAGTATGGTACTAATATTACTGATAAGATGCACAGACATAAGAAGCGGCAATTGGAGGACATACTAGGGGAGGACGAGGAGAGTCCGATTCCCAAAAAACAATTTGTGGAAGTTATGGAAGAAGCTGATAAGGTGGAGGAAGCCAGCCTAGAGTGGCCCCCTGTTGATAAATGAGGCTCCTCGCCTGGAATGTGAGAGGAATTGGACCATCCCTCACATTTCAAACTGCGTTTGGTTTAGTGCGCTCTAATAAACCGGATCTCGTGTTTTTTTCGGAAACGCGATCGAGACGGAGTGTAGTCTCCCGCCGTTTGCGGGGCCTAGGGTTTCTCTCTTCCTGTTGTTTTTTTGTCGATGCGGTTGATGCATCAGGCGGTTTGGTTGTGGCTTGGTCCCCTGAATTAGTGCTTCAGTGTTGTTTCATTCGGAGTTTTGTATTTGTGTTTTAATTAATGAAATGAACTTTTCGTATGTGGTGATTTGTGTCTACATTAGCTGCCATGCTACCATTAGAGCCTCCCAATTGGCTCAATTGCGTGAGATTTGTGGTGATTTGTCCAACCCCTATGTTATCATCGGTGATTTTAATACTACTCTTCATGAGTCTGAGAAAGATGGGGGAAATCAGTGGAATGCTTCCCATTCAATTAGCTTACGTGATTTTATCCATGACATGGGCCTCATTGATCCAGGGTATCAGGGGGATACTTTCACATGGACAAATAAGCGAATGGGGGCAGCTTGTATTCGGGAGCGCTTAGACAGAGCTCTTTGCTCCCAGTCCTGGCTGGACCGTTTCCCTGATACTCTAGTGAAACACTTTACGGATCAGGGGTCGGATCACCGGGCACTCTTGCTTTCCGATAAGCCTTACGTCCGCAATAATCGGCCCCTTTTCAGGTTTGATGCGCGTTGGGCCGATAATCCGGAAGTAAGAGCCATGGTGACCTATGTCTGGAAGGAAGAGGTTCAGGGAACTCCCATGTTTCGTCTTTGGGAGAGGCTCAAGAACCTTCGTCATTTGTTGTATGATTGGAGCAGAGCAGGAACGACCAATTCGTTAAGAAATATTAGGACTCTGCAGGCAGAAATTGACCGCCTCAAGCAAACCCATCCCATTAATTGGGATGAGGTCCGAACTCTTGAGCTTGAGTTAGGTAGACAATGGGAGGCGGAGGAGGAATACTGGCAGCAAAAATCCCGAGTCCGTTGGTTACAAAGGGGGGACAAAAATTCATCGTATTTTCATACGGTGACGAGGACCCGTCGGAAAAAGAATTTTGTGAGTGGGCTTCGGGATGATGATGGCCAATGGGTGACGGATGAGAAAGGGAAAGCGGATATTGCTACTAAATATTACAGTACCCTCTTCACGTCCGAAAACCAGGTTCAGGATATGCATAGACGTATTCATAGTTTGCCTATTGCCCAAAGTGTGACCCCGATCATGAATGAAGCTCTAACGGCTACTGTTCTCCCGGATGAGGTCCGAAGAACTGTGTTTGCCATGGGTTCAAAACAAGCCCCGGGGTCAGACGGTTTCACTGGAAAATTTTTTAAGGCCTTCAGGGATATTGTGGGACCTTCGGTAGTTGAAGCAGTCTGTTCTTTCTTCACCTCTGGGCGGTTGCTACGCAGTTTCAACCACACCTGGCTCACATTAATCCCTAAAGTGGATTCTGTGGAAACAATGAAGCAGTTGCGTCCCATAAGCTTATGCCAATTCGTGTACAAAATTATAACCAAGATTTTGGCAGAACGCTTGTCCGTGATTCTTCCTCAGGTGGTTTCAGAAGGTCAGAATGGCTTTATCAGAGAGCGTCAGATAGTGGATAATATCTTACTCGGGCATGAGCTCATGCATTATTTGAAAACCAAAACACAAGGGAAAAAAGGGTTCATGGCCCTGAAGGTTGACATGGAAAAGGCCTATGATAGAGTCGAATGGCCCTTTCTCCTTGAAGTTTTGGTTAAGATGGGTTTTAGCTCTACCTGGGTAGGATGGATTAAGGAATGCCTCATCTCTGCTTCTTTCTCAGTTATGATGAATGGTACTCCGTCGGGATACTTTTCCCCTTCTAGGGGGTTGCGCCAAGGGGATCTGTTGTCGCCTCTCCTTTTTGTGCTGTGTACTGAAGGGTTTGCGGCGCTTCTCCAGAGGGCGATAGCGGACAAAAAGTTGACTGGGATCAAAGTGGCTCCACGGGCGCCCAGATTGTCACATTTATTTTTTGCCGATGACTCGTATCTGTTTCTTCGAGGTAACCTCCAGGAGTGTGAGAACCTTATTGAAGTCCTCAATGAATATGAGGAATTGAGTGGCCAAAGGGTTAATCTGGCCAAATCGGCAGTGTGCTTCAGTAGGAATATAGTGCAACAAGACCAAGAATTCTTGGCAGCAGTGCTGGGGGTGGGGGCAGTTGGCGTCCATGATAAGTATCTGGGTCTCCCGTCTTTGGTGGCCAGATCGAAGATGGAGACATTCCGTTATGTGGAAGCCAAATTGTTGGAACGTCTCCAGGGATGGAAACAGAGGACTCTTTCGCGGGCAGCTAAAGAAACGCTTATTAAATCCATTGCCCTGGCTCTGCCGCTGCACGTGATGTCCTGTTTCAAGCTCCCTTTGTCCCTGTGCCGCCTTTTAGACAGGCATGTGGCCCGTTTCTGGTGGGGTGAGAATGAAGGGCATTCGAGGGTGCGGTGGATGTCGTGGCGGGACATGTGCAGGAGTAAGCATGAGGGGGGTATGGGGTTCCGCCGTTTTGAGCTTTTTAATCAGGCACTCTTGGCTAAAATTGGGTGGCGTATCATCAGTGAACCGAATTCCTTGCTGGCCCAAGTGTATCGGGGTAAATACTTCCCTAATGGCCATTTCCTAACAGCGAAAGCTAGGTCTAGGCCTTCCTGGGGTTGGCAGAGTATCCTGTTTGGTCACCAGCTCCTAGAGATGGGATTGAGATGGCAGGTTGGGAATGGGCGCTCAGCATCTATGCTCCATTCTACTTGGGTCCCGGAATTTCAGTTTCAGCCCATTTGTTACAATCCGCAGGTATTGCCGGCTGGTGGTGACCCTCTGGTGGCCGAGCTTATTTGTCAAGGTGAGGGACGTTGGTGTGACCAAAAGCTATTGCAGTGGTTTGACCCCGTGACGTGCCGTCTAATCAAGGCTATCCCGCTCCCGCGAGACAATGTTGAGGATAAGCTCATGTGGTATGGAACAGCGGATGGGGTATTCTCGGTCAAATCGGCTTACCATCTGGCTGTCTCATTAGAGAAAAGGAGAGGGAGTGGGAGGGCTTCTGTAGATTGGATAGATAGGGCTAGTTGGATTCGGCTGTGGGAGGCTAATATCCCGCCTAAGCTGAAGGTTTTTGCTTGGCAGATCTTCAATCGAATTTTGCCGACTAGTGAGGAGGTTATTAGTCACCATATCCCGGTCCTGCCCCGTTGTCCGGTCTGTTGGGGAGGCCCAGAAACTTTGGAGCATCTTTTTTTGGATTCTTCGGTCGCGCGTGCCCTATGGGGGGCGGCGGGGTTGGAACATCTAGGGGAGGGCCTTCCACGGCATACCTTCCCTCTGTTCCTTAAAAAGTTGCTAGCCTTGGTTTCTCAGCCGTCGCTGTGGATGGCCATTTTTGCGGTACTTTGGCGGATATGGAAGGCCCGAAACTGGGTTGTTTTTGAAGGAAAGCAATTTAGTCTTCCGGCGCTTCTACGCCAATTTACCCAGCAAGTGGAGGAATGGGCGCGCCTCCCGGTTGAAGACAGATTCCCAACCCCGGTAGTAGTGGAACAAGGCCCTGGGATGGTGGGCTCTGCTGCGTTTGTCTGTACTTGGGACGGTGCCACGAGGAGGGGTTCGCATTCGGCGGGTGGCATGGTGCTTATGACTGCCTCTAGTGCCGTCCTCAGGGTTGCCGGTGTCCAGTTTCCAGCCATTGATGATCATGCGACTGTGGAGTTGATTGCGCTACGTGAGGCTCTTCTCTGGTGCTTGGGTCAAGGTTTAGCCTCGGTTAGGTTTGAGGGAGATGCTAAGGTTGTCATTGACAAAATCAGGAGGAGGGATTCAAGAGACAGCAGGTTGGGTGCTATTTTGGAGGAGGTGATAAAGATCTTTGACAGTAGCCCTAGGTTCAGTGTCCGTTTTGTAGGTCGGCATAGAAATAGGGTAGCCCATTTGGTGGCTAGAAAAGCCCTCGCCTTGTATCCGACTATGAGTCGTGCTTTTAATTTCCAGGCCTGGCTGGTTTCCAGGATGTAACTATCGTTTTCATTATCAATATATGATTATCTTTTGTCAAAAAAAAGGGATAAATGGAATTCTCTCCCGAGCTACGAAATTAATGTCTTCTTACACCAAAACAAAAATCTATATAAAAGAAAGTTAACTAAGTGTTAAATAAAGTACAAAAAACAACATTTATTGACTTGGTTTTGTTATAAAATAAACACATAACATGCGGACAATGTTTATTTAATAAAAGTACATGGACACTGTGTATTGCCTTAGTTTTATTTTATAAAAATAAGTATGTGTTTGATTTTGGAGGCTATTTTTAATTTGTAGCCTTTTAGTTGTCCCATACTATAATATTACAATGTATTATTAATAACTAATATGGTTATTGTGGATTAACCATTGTGAATAGTGGTTAACCACTAACCACAAAAATCTATATTTTACTAACCACACTCAACCCACTATCCACAAATTGTGGGTATGGTTATCCACAAAATGTGTGGTTTGCACATTACCCACAACCCACAAACCAAACTTCCAATCCTACCCCACGTGATGCAGAAGGATTGGAATCCATGATTCACCTACAAATATTAAAAAGAGGATCAAACAAACGCAAACCACTATTCATAACGAAGAGTGGGTCAAAATATTATTAAAATGGAAGGTTAGAAATGTGATTTGGTATTGGTTTTGTAATAAAGGGTTTGTACTATATCCTTTCTCATGTCCAGTGGTTATTTAACCATGAGTAACTAAATTTGGACATTCCTTTTTAAGTGGGTCAAGAAAATTCCCATCTGATAGTTGTAATATAAAAATATTTTATTTTCCATAGTTTTCTTAATCAATTCTTATCTTTTTCGTTCTACTTCGGATTTGAATTTTTTTTCACAGATGGAATGAGTTCGTTGTGCTCTACAATATGAGA